GGGAGAGACCCGCACTGGAGAGGTGAATGCCTGAGAGGAGACTGTGACCCTGTGGGAGGCCTATGCTGTAATAGGCTCCTGGCAGGAATCTGAAGACCCATGGAGAGAGGAGCCCACATTGAAGCAGGTTTCCTGGAAGGATTTGTGATCCTGTGGGGGACCCACACTGCAGTAGGCTACTCTTGAAGGACTGCATCCCATGGAAAAGTGACCCACATTGAGGCAGTTTGTGAAGAACTGTATCCCATGGGAAGCACTCAGGCTCTAGAAATTTGTGGAGAACTGTCTCATGTGAGAGCAATCCCACAGTAGAACACGGGAAGGTCTCCTCTCCCTGAACAGTGTCAGGAACAACCTGTGATGAACTGTGACCCCCATTCCCTGACTCTCTGCACCACTTTGGGGGAGTAGGTACAGCCAAGAAGGAGACAGAAGAGTGGGGGAGGTATTTTTAAGATTTGTTTTGCATCTCATTATTCAGCTCTGATTCTGATCTGTAATAAATTCAGCAAATATCCCCAAGTCGAGTCTGTTCTGCCTGTGACAGGAATTAGTGGGTGATGTCTCTCCCTGTCTTTATCTCAATTCATGAACCTTCTGTCATATTTTCTCTTCCCTGCTCTGCTGTAGAGAGGAGTGACAGAGCAGCTGTGGTGGGTACTTGGCATCCAGCCATGGTCAATTCACGACAAAAAGCACAGTGAAAAAACAAGTTGGTGGTGACAGAACAACAACAGGGTTGCAGAATGACTGTCTTGTATCTGCCAGCTAAAGCCAGGACATGCTGTAGTGACACACATTCAATGGAGTCAGGCAAAATCTGCAATAGCAGTTGCATGCACACCACTAACAAATCTAAGCCATTAAGAAAACCCAAAAAAATCTAGACAACATAAATCTTAGCTTCTAAGGAGATTCATACCTGTGAGGAGATTTCACTCCATTCCTCCAAAATTCACTCCAAAATCAATTTTGGGTTTGCTACAAATCCCACAAAAAAAAACAAATCAGCACTGATTGTGGATAACATACTCCAAGTACTGCTAAAGAAATTGCATGACTCAGGGAAAACGAAATGTGCTTTCCAATTTTCTTGTGCTCCTGTGAAAATCAAAGACATAGCACATCAACCAATGTGATTAAGGATGAATATCCCTGGCCTTATCCAGAGCTTACATACATGTTGAAAGGTACTGCTTGCTCTTTCACCTGTTTCCTTCAGCAGGATCGAGAAGAATTCCTTATAATATGCTGTCATCCCAGGTAGCTATGAAGGATAATTTTTTTATGCCTCCCTTAAAATAACATTTTAAAAGATTTAGAATCTTCAGTTAGTTTTCTGCAGAACAGCTACTCTCTAAGGAATTCCAGCAGAGCAGAAAAAAAAAGTTCTGAAAAAATCAGGAAAAAAAGACAGTTAATTATTTCACTGCTGGTAGTCCCATGTGGATTTCTGTGGCATTCATATGTTAAAAGTATCAGCATATATGCCTGCAATCTGGAAGTATGCTCTATATTTCAGCAATTACATTTACAGTAATAGGACACAAGGGAATGAAATGAAATTGTGCTAAGGGAAGTTCAGATTGGCCATGAGGAAAAGGTTCCTCACTGGAACTCTCTCTGCAGGCAAGTGGTCACTGCACCAATGAGTTCAAGGAGTCTGAGTTCAAGGAGTATCTGGATAAAGCTCTGATCATATGGCTTAGTGTTAGGAAGTCCTGTGAGGAGCAGGGAGTTGGACTCAATCCTTAACATGTCCTTTCAAAATGAAATACTCTATGATGCTGATTTAGTTTAACAGATACCTTATCTGTGTAGTAGTTCTTGTAAAAAAAATCACTGAAGTCCATATTCAGCATATTCACCTCCTTTGTTAAATGTAGACACTTTTTATTAGTCTGTGAGATAAATGCCTATAAAACTACAACACATTTGTATATTTATAATAGGACTTGGCAGACCTTGATGTCTTTTTCTTTTTTTTTTTTTTTTCATAAGTTTTGTGATGCTTTTTCTACTGCATCAAATTCTGGGAGATTGTCATGAGGGCAAAAATTTTGAAATACTTGAAAGCATTCATAAAGAAGTTTGTTAGACCTTATGGATGAAAAAGTAGTCTGTAAATATAATTCAAGCACACCCTGAAAGTTTAGAGATTGAACTGTTATTTTATTTTGGGAGTGTTGAATCATGATTTTCAATACGCGGAGCTAGCAGCTGCAAGACACTTGCAAGCTGAAATACCAGTTTAATAGAAATATTATAAATACCAGCCTCTAGAAATACTCAGACTACCATCAAAAAATTTTTGAGCTTGAATCATATCAAAAACCTTGCAGAGACAAGAAATAACTGAAAAATACTACTGAAGCACCAGGAACCATTCTTAAAATATTTTAATACTTATAATCTTATAATAGGGAGGGCAAGGGATTGGGAGGGTTTATGCTTGTTTATCTGTTTTTATAGAAAACCTAAACTAACTGTAGTCTCACAAACTTTAAAATGGTGATTAATGTAAAGACAAGAATAGACTTAAGTGAAGCAGTTAATGTTTCTTTTGCATTAAAGAATATTTGAGATGATAAATAACAGGACTTCAGATGAAAAACATGAGAAATTATATAGTTAATATATTTTCTTTCTTGTGTCAAAATTTTCCTGCAGGAAAAGACATACCATCTTGAGGGCAAAGCATTTGCCTAGTTTCAAAGACCACCACATTTCTTTTCATCCCCTAGCACTTTTGTGCTAGTAAACACTTATACTGGATTTTGCACTGTACTCAAATATTTTGCTAAAGATATCAGCTTTGTCCTTTAAACCCTGTAATGGCAGAGTGTTAAAATAAAATATTCTTCTATGTAATTAACCTTTTGTTCAGATGTGAGTTTATGTGGGGAAAAAATGTAAGGAAATTGCTGCCACACTTGTATGACTCTTTCATCTGAATGAAGAAAACAAATGTGGCCAAAAAAAGCTGCTTAGATTAGTTAATATGTCCCACATATATTTCTTCCAGTCCATGTATCCATGTATTATCATAAACCCCATACTTCACCAAGTTTAAAGTGAACTGCAGTCACATAAACAGGAAGATTATAAATTTGGGTTTAGCACATCCTAATTTTTAAATTGACTAGACTGACCTGTAAGAAGAGAAACTATAATAACAACTTTCCTCTAGAACCTCCTCAGTTAGAGTCTACAACACAAAAGAACTTAATTTCAGTGAATTATGTTCCTTAAGACTAATAAATGAATACATATACGTAAATATACAGCTTACCTGCAACTGTTCATATGTCATCCCTTCTGCAATGCCAGAAGCATCAAAAATGCCTTAAAGTAAAAGGTAAGTAATGTTATATTACTGAATTTGAAATCTATGCTCCCTTATCAGTTTCTTAGTAATTTCACAGCAGACATAATGACAAGACAGAAGCTTCATGATCAGTAACCCACTGAGCACAATGACCCCCTGAAAACGTGGGGTTATTTTATGGCATGATATGAATGTTTGTCGCACACACATTAGGGAAGTACTCTAACCAATGAAAAATAATTTAAAGACTTAATGTAACAAAACTCAGAAATGCAACTTTCTTATTTTTCCCACTTACAGTGGAAATTTATAGCAGAAAGAGCACACAGCCATCAGCAATTTGTGAGGACAAAAGTACTGTCTGCAGGTTAAGAGATTCAAAAATTACAGATAATGAGCATCTCAACAAACTACATTATCGTCTCCAGGAACAAAATAATGCTCATATTTAAAGTGATTGTTAGAGACTCATTTCCTACTCCAATATCACCCTTGACACCTAGTATTAATTCTGGTTTTTGCAATAAGCTGTGGAACAGATACGCTATTTTCAACACAAAGGCTGTCAAAATTAAGGTTTTGCACTCTTCTTCCTGGTGCTACAGATTTCAATGTTACTATATTCTCTAGTCCATGGATTGTAACACAGTATTTAGAAAAATGTAAATGCCACAATTACCAAAATACAGGCTGCACATTTCCCTTATGTCCATTGCACATAAAAAGACATGATGAAAAAAATCTCTGAACCAGGAATTATAGCTGCCCACCCTGGATGACACCACAGGTGGCAGATTTGATTTTACATGGTGTTTATGATTTGTCTGAGTATCACTAGTACAAAGTAGAATTGACACATATATTTATATATATTCTAAAGTATATATACATATATGTATGTGTTCCCTCCTCAAGTTCGTATGGTTTGATCCAGCTATGTAATTAAATCATCCCATTACAACTATTTCAAACATGACAAAAGAACAACATAAGGGTTTAAACAGACTTGATTTAAAAATCATACATAAGGACAGGTAAATCCTTACTATGACATTTTCAGTTACAAACATCTCTATTCATTTTCATGGATGAATCATAAATTATTTGCATCTGTGATATTTGTTTATAATTTCAAAGTGTAGTCTCTTCAATCAGTAGAATGTTCCAGCAGTGCTAAACTGTGTATCTTACCAGGAATTAAACAAAACAAAACCCAACCAACCAAGAACTCCAAACCAAAAACAAACAAACAACCCCCCCAGAATATCAGTATGGTCAACATAACTTTATTGTCTTTAATGACTGATCTTAAAATAGCAATTCTTTCTGCTTTGATACCATACACTTTATTAGAAAAATATATGCCACTACAGAAGTTTATGGTGCTTTGTTTACCTTTTATGTCATCTGGAAGCAACATATTTCCACCTGAAGAAAGATGTACCCCATGCCAATCCGCTGTGAATATATTGGGTTCAATCAATTCATCAGCATCTAGGGGGAAAAAAAGAGATTAAAAAAATAAAGACACCTGAAAAGTACATCCTTCCTATTTTCCAAAACTTCAGACTTCTAGGAGGCAGTTTACACTTTCTTACATTTCCCAGTGGAATCAGAAGTCAAAAGAATTTCAGTACTTTTTAGATTAATGGAAAAGTGGTGAACACGATTATGAACATCCTGCCTTTTTCTCTCCAGAAACACTGAACATTGCAAGCTGCATTTAATATAATGCACTGAATTTTTCAGATTATCTGAAAAAAATGTCACAAACTACACTTCCCTGTGAAGATAAACAGGAAAGTGTATTCTCTTGAACCTATGAGAGAAGCAGCTGATGACTCTGGTTTTTAAAACTGTGGCTTCAAGTGAAATTGTTAGCTGATATTCAAGTGGTATAATTCCCATTAGAGGAATTCCAGCACTTTTAAAATCTGAAAGTCAGTTCAGCTACTTTATATGAGCATGATACTAACATTAAGCTTAAAAGCATCTAGTTTTAAAAATATCCACAGGTAACAACTCTAATAGGACCACCTTTGTGTACAGGAGAGAAATCTGTTATGCATTTCTGCAGCATAATGACACTTTTACAGTTACAGAAACAGAAGAATCTCTGGGCCGGAAGACCTTTACCCCACCACTGATCAGTGGAGGAATCTTTTTGTCTGTAATTCTTATTAGGTTTTCTAACTTGGTGTAGTTAAAACTCCATTATTTTAAAATTTTATTTCCAAAAATTGTACAACCTCATAAAAACATTTGCTGTAAGAGTTCAACATAATTCTTTTCTCTATTTAGGTTTCTCCCATTACCTCCAAGTGATATCTAAATTATATTTCCTTCAAGGTAGAATGCCCAGAATTGCATTCAATATTTCAAGCATTTTCAATTTACTACCATTTACTTTTTAGATAGAGTATTTCTTCCCTTTTCAACAGGTTTAAATCCAGTAGTTTTGAAGCTAACACAATTTTACAGTTGAAAAAATTTACAAATAGTTTCCTTTATTTCTGAACAGCTGAAAATTAGGTTAATTTTATAATAAACACTTCAATTTTCTTACCATATTTTTGGGCATTCGTTTCTGAAAACTTCAACTCAACACACAATGAGGAGGTATTTAGTAGATTTAGTGTTATGGCTCAAATACAGGAATTGGTAAATGTAAATCCCAACTTGATTTACAGGATAGCATGAAACTGATAGCTCAGAAAGAAGCATCCTTATGCATCTTTAGAAGCATCCTTAGAAGCATCTAATGTACTACCAATGTGCCACCTTCCAGGAAGTTTTTAGCACCTCAGGTTAATTATTAC